CAATTTCCTCTTATTTATAACTTCCTTTTGAATGGCCCTCTGAAGTGCCATCAAAAAGTCCACCAGTGAAATTAAAACCTTCTCATCGTTATTATTTGTCGAATTGTAAAAGCGTAGGGTCTGCAAAGAAAAATTATCCGCAATGATAGAACAGAACATTTTGAGGCAATAAGTGTCACCCTGGGGTCATAATTTCTGTTTACATGTTTGAATCACGCGTAACTTAAATATTGTTACTCTCTTGTGTTGATTTTCCTTAGAGTTTTATGTGCAGGTTCAACGTTAGCATGCCCCCGTGTGCCTTTCTCATTACCGCTTGGCAGAAGTAGGCGTATGCTTGGAAAGGAACTCTCCTCAAGCAGCGGCCACTGAAGCCCTTGCTCATCCTGGCGCACTTCATTAGTTCGGATCCATAGCTATGGGAAAGCGGGCGAGGAGGAGCAAGTTAAAAGAGAATCGAAGGAAGAGTAATTCTAGGGCGGCGATTTCCCATTTGCCATTTCGTCTCCCCCCCTAAAGGGTAACTTTTTGCACGTAGCCGTTACATGTATTCATTCGTCTGTTTCCCCGCTCCGTTCTACAAAGTGAAGAGAAAAAATTACGGGAGTAACGTCTAAATTGTCACACCCATATAGGGTGTGAACTATGACGGCGCTTGAAACGGCATGAAAATGCAATGCTCTCGCAAGTTACGCACCTTGAGCATTTTTTTAACTCGTTCATAATTTGGAACCTTCGAAGAAAAGTGAATTATACCCTTTTCCATCTACGCAGTGAAGAGGAGTAAAAAGGAGTCAAAAAAAAGAAAAAATGGACGTGAAAGAATAGAGGAGCACACATTTTACACACTTTGCGAGATGTTACATTTCTCTGATGATACCAATTCGTCGATGCAGTCCCTGTAAATCTCGTATCTGCATTCTTCGTTTGGCAACCCAATGAACTGCTTCAGGTCTACTCTGTCGATGAAGGCGTCATCGATCATTTCTGCGAAGTGTTGGGCGATGGGCAAATGTATGGACGACACTTGGTAGGGGCCCCTCCAAAGAGGTGCCATCGCTATTGCCGCATTTACAATTGCGCAACCATGAGTCCGCTCTCTGACACACCGGAAATGTTCGACGTGGTGAGCAGCAACGTGTTGTGATAATATTTAAGGGAGTCTATCTGAGTCAGCAGCGTGTTGACGACTCGTATAGTGTCCGAGGGCTCCGTGCTGTCCATGGACCGCCTTCTGTCTGCAGACAAACTTTCCACCTCGTCTATCAAGAGGCAGATAAAAATATCATTTTCGCCGTAGTCCTCGATTATCCTTTTAATCCTGTTAAATAACTTTAACACTTGCTTCCCCGATTCACTAAACCATTTGGAGAATAACGTGTGGGTGTTCAGCTCAATCAGAACGCCTGCGAAGTTAAGAAAGTACGGATCCCCATGGGGAAAATTAGTAGGTTTCAAAAATGAGCCGATTTGTGCACATGCATGTGGAGGGAGTCGCTCGAAATGTTTCGCGAGCAAAGAAGAAGAAAAAAAAGAAAAAAAAAAAAAAAGCACACACACAGGTGTACATATTTATTGACAATCCCCTCGACGGAGCCCTAGTGCCACATGCCCCCTACGCAGCACGGAACAAAGCCGCACAACCCTGTGAGAACTATAAACCGGACCTGTCGCATATATATTTGACAGACGAATACAAATCTTGTTAGCCAGAGCTTTACAGAGGGAAGTTTTCCCCGTTCCTGGAGGCCCATACAACAACACAAGGTGATTATAATTAATTAAATTGCGATCAATTTTTTTCGTAGCAAAGAGCATTAAAGCAGAAACATATTCGAGTAAATCTCTTTTTATATTTTCCTCATAATATAGACTGTCCCATAATTTATGAAACCGTAAGTGCGGTAAAATATATTGAGAAAAAATGGGCACGCCCTTGCCATTTTTTTTTTTCTCTTCATCAGTATTTTCCCCGTCTTGATCAGAACCTCCTTCATTTTCACTTCGTTCGTTAAATTGTTCCTCCACTAATTCGTCATTTTTGTAGTATGTGACTACATTTACAATGCAACAAAAATTTGGCAATATTATTGGATCTTCTTCCATAGATGATGTCGATTTTTCACCTATCATGGGGATCGTAAATAGCAATTTTGAACTCGGCTGTAAGTGCTCTTTATTCTGTATTTCGTTATATTGGGTGGATGAATGCACAGTATTTTGTGTAACGACAAGAGGACCATTTAGGGGAATGTTGCTGTGCCCATTGAGAAGGCACTCTCCTTTTTGTTCCTCCCAATGGTTAGTCATATTTGTCCTATCACAATTGGGGTTCCGCAACAGGGTTGTTTTTTTTGTTGACAGATCTTCTTTTCTTGGCCCTTCCGTGGGATAGAAATTCTCCCAAGTTGGTAAATCACAATTAGGTGCATCACCGACGTGCACGTCCGAATCGTAACATGAATTCAATTCATAAACAGAGTAATGCGTAGTGCAGAATTTCCCATAAATCCCATTGTCGTATTTTTCGTTGGACTCCTCCTTCACTATTTTTATTGGCACAGCTGGCTCGATAACTATATAGTCGCAAGATTTGTTCAACTTTTCACAGTTAATTTTTTGGGGATCGTGCCGCCCTAACGTTATGGTTATTCCTAAGGAGAACAGCCACTTGTGGGCTGCCGTTTTTATTACTTCGTCAGATACGTCCTTTTCGTCTTTTAAGCAAATTTCGCAGCACAGGGGGATTCGCTTTTCCTTGTGCAGGTTCATTTTGGTTTACGTGGCGAAAAGGGGGGGGAGAAGTGCAAAGAAAAAAAAAAAATTACACATAAAAGGGGCACAACTTTATGTTCACAGTAGCGACTGGATAGCTCTACGACTATTTTCTCCCAAGTAGACTTTAAACGGTGTGCACATTTTACCCAAAGGGAGGGGGAAAAAATAGCCGTCCACTACATTTTTAAAGATTTCCCCTTTCGCATGAGATGTTCTCAAATGGTTTGCACCCCTTTTTTTCCAAAATGTTAACAATAAAATGGAAACCACACCGCTTCTTCACATTTTAGCATTTGTGCGGAATGCCCACTCTTCGGATCGCCTGCCAGACATATGCGTGGAGGGCTAATATCAATGTTTCGCCCTCCGACATACAAATGCACATTTGTGTGTAACTCGTTTCACCTGTAAACACGTAAAGGTTAATTCGTGCGCGTAGGTA